CTCGATCCCAGGACCCTGGGATCATGACCTGAGCTGAAGGCAGACGCTTAACCGACTGAGCCACCCAGGCGTCCCTCTCCTTTCTTTATTTCAAGCTTTTATTTAAAAAATACGAGAATTCGGGGCGCCTGGGTGGCTCAGTCGTTAAGCATCTGCCTTCAGCTCAGGTCATGATCCCAGCTCCTGGGATCGAGCCCCACATCAGGCTCCCTGCTCCACAGGAAGCCTGCTTCTCCATCTCCCACTCCTCCTGCTTCTGTTCCCTCTCTCACTGTCTCTCTTTCTGTCAAATAAATGAATAAATAAAATCTTTAAAAAATAATAATAATTTTGGTTTTTTGTATTTTTGGTAAGGACTCAACTAAAGAAGTTCTTAGGAAAATCAGTAAAGAGAGCAAAGCACCTTGCAGAAGAATATGGTGAACGTGCTGTGAATAAAGTTAAAAGTGTTAGAGACGAAGGTAAGTGAAATAGAACATTGCAAATGAATATTTAATTGATTTGTAATCCAAATTTAGCCTATAATTTATAAGAAGCATTCTGTTTTATTGAAAGTAAGAAACCTTTATAGCAAACATTTTAGCAGTTCAATAAATCATGTTATTCTAGGTATCACTTAATTTTATGAGCAGAAAGAAAAATAAATTCATCTTAAACATGAATTTGTGTATACTTTGTGGCAACCTGGAAGAGATGAGTGTTCATTAATCAATTGCAAATTAATTTTGTAAGTTTATTTAGTTTTTATAAATAGTTTCAAAATTTGGAAGATTTTCTAAATTTTACAGATCTTAACTTCCTGTGCCTTTGTTGTAATTGTACTCATTTATTTTATTTAATAAGCACTAATACAGTAGTTATTTTGTGCCAGACACTCTTCTAAGCACTTGGACCTGTATTCATTCATTTAACCTTCATAAAAACCCTATGAGGTAAGTACTGTTATTACCTCCATTTTATAGATGAGAAAATCAAGGCACAAAAAGGTCCAGTGCTTTGGCTATGGACACACAGACAATAAATGACAGAGCTGGATTTGGACCCAGACAATCTGGCACCAGATCCCATGCTCTTAACCAATATGCTATTTAGTAATAGTTATTGCTTTTCCATTTAATAAATTTTCTTGGTAAACAGTAGAAAGAAAATCTGATAGTAGCTTTATCTGCATTAGCTAGTGATGATTTCTATATTGCTTTTCTATTCAGTGTTTCATACTGATCAAGATGATCCTTCATCAAGTGATGATGAAGGAATGCCATATACAAGACCAGTCAAATTCAAAGCAGCGCATGGTTTCAAAGGACCTTATGATTTTGATCAGATCAAAGTGGTGCAAGATCTTAGTGGTGAGCATATGGTAAGCAACCTTTATATTTTTCAGGATTGATTGTTTTCACTGAGAGAAGTACTTTGGCTTGTACAAAGCCAATCTCTTATGTATATAATTTTGCTAACCTGACTCAAGAAGAGTAAATTAATATTAATAATGATTTAATGCCTAAGTAATGCAGAGTCTATCTCTGGATTATTTTTCAAGAACTGAAAGGTTTTTAAAATTTTTATTTAAATTTAAGATGCTGTGCAATATTGGTTTCAGGAGTAAAATTCATTGATTCATCACTTATATACAATACCCAGTGCTCATCACAGCCAGTGGCCTCCTTAATACCTATCACTCATCTAACCCATCCCCCCTCCACCTCCCTTCATCAACCTTCAATTTGTTCTCTATCGTTAAGAGTCTCTTATGGTTTGGGGCACCTGGGTCGTTCAGTCAGTTGAGCATCTGACTCTTGATTTCAGCTCAGGTCATGATCTCGGGGTTTTGGGATTGAGTCCCTCTCAGGGCTTTGTGCTCAGTGGGGAGTCTGCCTGAGATTCTCTGTTTCCCTCTCCCTCAGCCCCTCCCTACGCTCATGTGCTCTCTCTCTCTAAAATGAATGGATAAATCCTTAAAAAAAAAAAAAAAAAGTCTCTTATGGTTTGTTTTCCTCTCCTTCCCCCCCATTACTTCCCTTATGTTCATTTGTTTTGTTTTTTAAATTCTATATATGGGGACCCCTGGGTGGTTCAGTCGGTTAAGTGGCTGCCTTCAGCTCAGGTCATGATCCTGCAGTCCTGGGATTGGGCCCCACATCAGGCTCCTTGCTCGGTGGGGAGTCTGCTTCTCCCTGCCCTGCTCTTGTGCTCTCACCTGTTCTCTCTCCCTCTCAAATAAATAAAAATAAAATCTTAAAAAAAATAAATTCCACATATGAGTGAAATCATATGGTATTTGTCTTTCTCAGATTGACTTAATTTTGCTTAGCATAATACATTCTAGCTCTATCTACATCATTGCAAATGGCAAGATAGCATTCTGAATGCTGAGTAGTATCCCATTGTGTGTGTGTGTGTGTGTGTGTGTATACCACATCTTCTTTAGCCATTCATCAGTCAATGGACATTTGGGCTCTCTCCATAGTTTGGCTATTGTTGATAATGCTGCTGTAAACATCGGGGTGCATGTACCCCTTCGAATCTCTATTTTTATATCCTTTGGGTAAATACTTAGTAGTACAATTGCTGGATCGTAGGGTAGTTTTATTTTTAGTTCTTTGAGGAACCTCCATACTGTTCTTCAGAGTGGCTCCAGTTTGCATTCCCACCAACAGTGCAAGAGGGTTCCTCTTTCTCCACATCCTTGCCAACACCTGTTGTTTCTTGTTTTGTTAATTTTAGCCTTTCTGACAGGTGTGAGGTGGTATGTCATCGTGGGTTTGATTTATATTTCCCTGATGATGAGTGACATTGAGCATCTTTTCATGGGTCGTTAGCCATCTGGATATCTTCTATGGAAAAATGTCTATTCATGTCTTTTGCTCATTTCTTAACTGTGTTGTTTTTTTGGGTGTTGAGTTTGATAAGTTCTTTATTTATTTTGGATGCTAACCCTTTATCGGATATGTTGCTTGCAAATATCAAGAAGTGAAAGGTTTTCTTTTCTTTTCTTTAAAGATTTTATTTATTTATTTGACAGAGACACAGTGAGAGAAGGAACACAAGCAGGGGGAGTGGGCGAGGGAGAAGCAGGCTTCCTGCTGAGCAGGGAGCCCGATGCAGGGCTTGATCCCAGGACCCTGGGATCATGACCTGAGCTGAAGGCAGACGCTTAACGACTGAGCCACCCAGGTGCCCCAAGAAGTGAAAGTTTTTGGTTTTGTTTTTAAAGATTTTATTTATTTGAGAGAGAGAGGGCATGAGCAGGGGAAGGGGGCAGAGAGAGAGGGAGAAGCAGACTCTGTGCTGAGTGTGGAGTCCGATGCGGGGCTTGATCCCAGGACCCTGAGATCATGACCTGAGCCAAAGTCAGATGCATAACCAACTGAGCCACCCAGGTGCCCCTCAAGAAGTGAAAGTTATTGAATAAGTAAAGTCTAGGCCCGTATCATTAAGAAAGCAGTGTAAAGGTACCAGACTTTAAAGCAGTTAAATTTACAGGGTGGTGTGTGTCTTTGGAAGACATTTAAAATGTTCCCCGTGTATATTTTTAAAAGGTTTTATTTATTTATTTGAGAGAGAGAGAAAGTGAGCGAGAAGGGGAAGGAGCTGAGTGAGAGGAACAAGCACATTTCATGCTGAGCGCAGAGCCCCGTGTGGGGCTTGATCTCATGACCCTAAGATCATGACCTGAGCTGAAATCAACAGTTGGATGCTTAACCGACTGAGCCACCCAGGCGCCCTTCCCTGGGTATATTTTAAATAATTAACACAAATATTACTGTAGGTCAGTGTATTTTGTAAAATGGCAGCTAAAACTAGGAGAGAGAGGTACAAGTTTTCTACCAGAGTTAAAATGTACCAAAGTGGGTATAAAGTGCCCAAGTGATAATCCAGTTACCCTTAAAAATGCTGGGAACACAGGGAAGCTGGTAATAAACTCCTGGACTGGGCAGATGATGCTGTGGGTCTTTGATCAGGGAATCTATGTATCTATTTAGATTTTAAATCCAAAATGTGGCTTACCTGAAAGGAAGCAACCATAAACATATCAGACGGCAGCCAGATTGGAATTTAAACTTTGGTGCTTATAATCTCCGCATAAAGTATTTGACTTGATTATAGTAACTTCCTTAAGGAACTGATGAACTTCCTTGTACTGTTTTGATTCACTTTCGTTATTTCCAGTTTTAAGTAAAGTCTCATTGTAGTAGGTTCCCAATAACAAATTTCTTAATATACTTGAATTTTATGGAAATGAATGTTATTTCAGTAAATGAGCTATTGCCTCTAACTTGGATACTCTTTTTTTTTTTTAAGTTTATTTTTAAGTAATCTCTACACCCAACATAGGGCTCAAACTCACGACCTAGAGACCAAGAGTTGCATGGTCTCCCAACTAAGCAGGCACCCCATAAGTTAGATAATCTTTTTGATCTGCATAGATATGTGTTGTAATAGTAGTTATGACAGTATTTGTTGTAGTAGCATTTGGCTTTTCCAATTTAAGGGTTCATGTTGTTAAATCATGCCACCCCCACCTCCCCAACACATACTCACACATTTCCCTATTATTAGCAGTATCTGGGAATTCCAACCGTACACTGTGAAATCTTGTATCAGAGGGGGGAAAAACAGGATGAGACCACACCATTCCAACACCTGTAAATGCCCAGTGCCATGAGGGTCACTGCTAACATGGGCCTATGTTTCCCTCAGCCTTGATCAAGGGTGTTAGTAGTATCCTGAGGGCTCTGCCTCCTCCAGTGTCACTCCCTCTTGTGTTTAGCTAGGAGACTGAAATCCCCAACTAGGATTTTTTTTTACAATGATTTCTGGCCACCTTGGAACTCCATTTCCATTAATTTGTAGACAAGGCTTGGGGCTTTGAACTTGTTAGTTTAGATTAAGGTAAACTGCTGCTATCTTATCCTACCTTTCTCCTAAAAATTCCTCTTTGTGCTGTTGTGATATCATTGAACTGTTGGCCTTCAGTGGTGTTAGTAATATGAGCATTATCTTAGTATGTATAATTTGGAATAATTCTTTACTTTGGCTTTAAAATAATGTTTCAACTCTTAGGGGTGCCTGGCTGGCTCAGTTGGTAGAGCGTGCGACTCTTGATCTTGGGCTTGTAAGTTTGAGGCCTACGTTGGGTGTGGAGATTACTTAAAAATAAAATCTTAAAAAAGAATGTTTCAACTTTTAAAGTAGTAACTCTGAACCTTCCTTTGTTTTCATAGGGAGCTGTTTGGACCATGAAATTTTCTCACTGTGGCCGATTACTTGCCTCAGCTGGACAAGACAATGTAGTGAGAATATGGGCTTTAAAAAATGCTTTTGACTATTTCAACAATATGCGAATGAAATACAATACTGAAGGTATTTTGATTTACTTGTGGGCTTTAAAACTCTAGAGACATCTGGCATTTTTACATTTTAGGTATAATGATGCCCTCTTCTCTGGCAACCATTTGCAGCAACCACTATTTTTAATAATGGCCACAAACCTAAAAGTAGGACAGAAGTCAACACCAAAAAAGCATCTATATCCCATGGAAAACGCTACCATAGAGCTTTTGACTTTATCCCTTTTGAAGTATAGTGTAGAGTTTAATTCATCAACTGTTGAGAACAAAGTCACTTGGTTTCCCCTGACAACCTTTAGGTCTCTCTTGGGTTTAAATGAAATAACCTGATTAATTTAGAAAAAGAATGAGGAGAATAATATCCATCCAGTAAGTAAAGAAAAAAGGAGACCCAGCCATGAAAAGGAAATGTGATTTGTCAGTGCATCAGAGGTATATGAAAAAAGGTTAAATGGCAAAGAGAAACCTCAGAATGTGATGTATGTACACCATGATTACAACTATGTAAAATATTTCTGTATATTGGTAACTTACCAGGAAAGCATGTGGAATTGATAAAAATAAGAGCTTTATATTTATGGGATTCTTCTCTTATAATTATTTAACTGTAATAAATTTTCTCCACAAACCCCTCCCTTCTACTCCCATCCTCACCCTAGCCAACTAAGGCTGAAACCAAGAAGTTAAGGGATGGGAGAAAGAATAGGTGGCCATGGGCTGGAGTATAGAGTATATTTGAATTACCAATTTGAGGAACATAGAAATCTGGGGAGATCCACTAAACTGGCAAATGAGGCCCTGTATACTTTAGTGGTCCTGTGGGTATTGCTTGCATTATGTTATAATACATAACTGAAGATGATAGTGGGTTGGCAAAAACTTACAGTACATTTTTTTTTATTGCCCTGCCTAGAGCAGAAAGACTATTTTCAGTGGCCCTTGAGACTTCTACCACCCCAGACCCTTTATTGTTCATCTTGTTTGTATTCACTATGAATAATGAAGATTTCAACAATATTTTATTAAATTGACGATATGGTTATTTTTTATCATTTTTATCATAAAGGTTTTATGATAAAAACCGTTATTTTGGTGCCCAAAGAGTTAATGCCTCACTTATTTAGAAAATGTGTTTTTTTCAGAATGTTACATTGTATGACTATTAATTAGGTGTTCCTGTGTCATTATTTCTGATTGATGTTTTGTGTGTGTGTACATACATGCTTTTTTTATAATTATTATTTTGTTTTTAGGACGTGTGTCCCCGTCACCTTCTCAGGAAAGTCTGAATTCATCAAAGTCTGATACAGATACAGGGGTATGTTCAGTATTTTATGGTTACTCTTGTTAAGTACTATAATTTGATTTATTTACCATGAAATACCTCATTGTCTATCAGAAATTACAGTTACATGAAAGCAGTTAATTAAGATACATTACAAACAAGAGGTTCTTCTATTAGAATTGGTAGATGAAAAACTGTGATATTTAAAAGCTGTCGTACAGTGCATGATACTACTTCAGCTACCAAACTACTAATGTAAACTTAAATAAAACAAAATCCCTTCCCCTCAAATCCATGTTACAACTTAAAAAAATACTGGATACTGAATAAGGAGTGAAGAAGGAAAGAAAAGATATAGAAATATTTTAATTTTTCCATCTTCTTGGTGTAATAAATTCTTTATCACAGTTTCAGGTAGTTTAAAATATCTGAATGGTTTTCCTTTGGTCTGATAGCTGGAAGGTTAAATAATTTTACACCTAAAAAGCAAACTGGAGAATATAATTCTAAGCTGTCCCATGTGCTTCTTGTGTATTGATCTAGACAATGGTGATGTAAACAAAGAACCTAAAATGTCCACCTGCTCAACAGTATTTTCCTGAAATCTCATTGTCTCTATAGTATTTGACACTAATGTTTCCCTACTCTAAACATATTCCTCTCAGCTTTCTATGGTTCTCTTTTTCCTGTTCTCTTCCTACACCTTTGCTGTCTCTTCCTCTTTCTCCCACTTAAATGGTGCTGTTTTTCAGAGTTGTGTCCTTGACCATCCTTATTTGACATACTCATTCGTTGCCTCCAGTCCTGAATTGGCTTTACCTTCATCATTCTTGTTTCCTTTGAGAATAGCTTAATGGTTTTTAAACAAGAATAAGATCTTATTGGGCGTGCTACCCTTTTCACATAACAGTATATATAGAATCTCTCCATCAGTGTATTCAAGCACATCGGCTAATAGTCTAAAACTGAACTCCCTCAACAAGTGTTTTTTGAGTGCCTGTCACATGTGCCAGATACTGCTAGCTTCTGCAAAGTCAGATGAGACATAGTCTTTGCCCTCAGGGACTATGCTGACTGGTGGAATAGATATATCCACAATTCTAGTACTGGATGGTAATATTCTACAGTAGGTACTGTACAAGTATAGGAGTTATCCCAACAAATCAGAGCGTGAAGAAAATGTTCCTGGAGGCTTTGTGTGTGAGCCAGGAGTTAACTGTGTGAGACAAGGAAGGAAGGAGCTCATCAGAATGAACAGCCAGTGCAAAGGCCTGGAAGCTGAAACGGCATGGCATGTGAATGGTGCTGCCAGAAGTTCCATGTGGCTGGAGCAAAGCAGACAAGTGTGAGAGTTGGAGGAGAGGTAGGCAGGATTTGGATTTTAAATGGCCTTTTGTGTTAAACCAAGACATTTGGACTTTGTCCTGTAAGCTGCAGGGGAGGGGGGAAGGGGCTTTGAGGGGTTTCAATCAGAAGCTTAATTAAAATTTCAGATTTTTGTTTCAGGAAGAGCATTCTGGTAAACACTGTAAACGATCGATTAGTTGGGGGCTCCAGACTAGAGACGGGGAGACCACTTAAGAGGTTATTAACCCAGGAGAGAAATGGTGCTTCGATTATGAAGCAGTGGGTCTAGAAACCATAATGATGAGCTGAATTTGAGAGACGTGGAAGAGGTAGGGTCTCTGGCACTTGGTGACTGATAGCTGGGGTGGCAGGTGAATAGCCTACTACAATCCCCAGCTGTCTGGCTTGAGTAACTGGTTAGATGTTAATGTTCACTCATGGAAATATTTGTATTACCTACCCACAACCCTGCTTCTCTCTTTGAGCCTTTAATGGCATCACCATCCATAAGTTACTTTTTTAACTTCGTCAGAAAATACTCCATTACTTTTTTTCCTTACATACATATCAAATGAGTTATAAATTTCTGTCCACTTGCCTCCACCGACAAATGCCCTTGGAATCTGTCCCCTCATTCTCCATTGTCACCCACATTATCTAGGTCTTCAATATTCATTGAGATGTTTGCTGTAGCTTCCTAATTGCTTTTTCTGTCTCCAGTCTCTACCCAATTTATTTTCTATGCTGCCACCAGCTTTTTTCCAAAATCCAGATCTGATGCCATTTTGTGGTTTAAAATCTTTGCTGGCTCCTTGTCACCTATAGAATAAGGCCCTTTCTGATATTGCCTCATTTTACCCTTTTTAAAAAAAAATATTTTATGATAGTAAATGCAAATTTTTTTTAAAAGATATTACCTATTTGAGAGTGAGAAAGAGAGAGAGAGCACGATTGGGGGGAGGGGCAGAGGGAGAAGCAGACTCCCCGCTGAGCAGGGAGCCTGAGGTGGGGCTAGATACCAGGACCCAGAGATCATGACTTGAGCCGAAGTCAGATGCTTAACCGACTGAGCCACCCAGGAGTCCCCACATCTTACCTTTTTAACTCAGTTCTAATTCCCTGGTGCCTATGCATCCCATTCACCATGCTGGACATAGGTCTGTACCCTAACCATTCTTTCACTTTGTGCCTTTGTGCTGTTTGCTTTGCCCACATTGCCCTCCCTGTCCCCTTTTCTCACTGGGCAGAGCCCTATTCATCTTTCAAGATTCAGTTCAAAAAGAAAAAAAGATTCAGTTCAAATATCTTATTTTCTCTTAATATTTTCCCTGAATCAGGCAGGCAGAATTGTTCCTCATTTGTGTTCCGACAGAACGTTGCAGGTATTTTGACACTGATATTACTTACCATGTCTTCTTTGGCAATTTGTCTCATTGGCTAGACTCTGGGCTGATTTAAAGCAAAAAACTGTACTTCACAGATTTTAGTGTCCTTGAAACCTAATCCCATGCCTGACTGTGGTGGGCCTGAGTCAGTGTTGAATTCCTGCTTCTGGGCCTTTGTTCCTATCCTCCTTATCTGGATGCCTGTAATCTCCCTTCTTCCTGTTCAAAGCTTGCCCATTCTTCAAGGCCCACTTCCTCCATAAAGCCTTCATTGACTAATGTAGCGGTAAAAATTTTAACCACTTTGCTTTGGGGAAAAGGGTTTGCTTTTATTAGTTTAATTCACCATAAAGCTTCCAGGCATTAATTATTATTAAAAACAGGAACTATTTGTACCATCTTGTATTATGCTTATTTCAACAGTCCTACTAACAGATTGTTCTATATATTTTTTAAAGATTTTATTTATTTTAGAGAGCGCAAGTGGTGGGGAGGAGCGGAGGTACAGGGAGAGAGAGAATACTAAGCCAACTCCGAGCTGAGCTCAGAGCCTGATGCGGGCCTCCATCCCAGGACCCTGAGATCATGACCTGAGGTGAAATCAAGAGTTGGAAGTTCAACTCACTAAGCCACGCAGGCGCCCCTCTACTGACAGATTCTTTTTTTTTTTTTTAAAGATTTTTTATTTATTTATTTGACAGAGAGAGACAGCGAGAGCAGGAACACAAGCAGGGGGAGTGGGAGAGTGAGAAGCAGGCTTCCCGCAGAGCAGGGA